TTTGAAAGCAACATGCTGGCATCTTTTTCTGCATGATTCCCTCTGTTCCCTCTCTTTTCCCTTTTTTTTCTTTTCTTTTTTTTTTTTTTCTTTTTGGTTGTATAAATTCCTCTTATAAACTGATTTATAATTTGGACTTTTCCAATTTACTTAATAAAGAATCTACACCATCAAGGAAAAAATATTTCATTTGAGAAATTTCCATATCCTCGACTTCAGTACTCAGCAGCACCCATTGTTTTTATGACAGCCCTCTTGAGCAGCAGGCTCCCTTCTCACAACTTGCAGCTGCAACTGGGAGCTTTAATTGCGGAGTTGATACACTATCTTATTAATGTCTCCATCATTTCCCTGAACCCATCGTTTTCTCCTGAATGTCTTTATATACTTGTCAACACTTTCCTACTGGAATTTGACCCGCCCAGGCCTTTGTGCTGATTTCAGCTAGAACTCTATCTTCCTTTACAGTGATGCATCTTACTTGAGATCTTTCGTTTGATGTCTGTGTGTCTGGCAGCAAATTTAATCGGAAGTTTCAGGTGTTTGTAATAGAGATTTGTGGAGACAGAAATCAGAGTGAGCACACAGAAAAAGTGGTAAAGAATTCCCACAATATCCAAGGAAGTACAGCAACATTATCAGATATCATGAAAGCAGTCATTTCTAACAATGATGTGCCAACAAAGATACATTTTAGTACTATGATTTTGAACTCCCTTTATTTCTACCATTCTTAAGCTTGTAATTCTTCCTGTGGTCTCTAAAGAGGTCCCTATCATTTCTGTTCTACCCCCCCCCCAAAAAAAAAAACTTTTAGACTTTCCGTCTTCACAGTCTCTTCAATCTGGACAGTTACTTTTTGTTAAAAAGCTGGCAATTTTCCACTTTTTCATTCTTCTCCCCTTGAAAATGAAAGTTTGTTTCATTTCCAGGGATAATTCCCAGTTTATAATCAATTCCACATTCAAATACAAACTTGTTGCATTTTCCAAAGTACTTTATGGCCTCTTCTTTTCTGTCAGAGTGCTTTGTATTATCCTGTTTTTTCTTTCTATTTCTTTAAATACATGGCTTGTTCTGTCTTCTTTTCTCTTGCCACTGCAGATTTTTCCTCTTTTCCTTCCTGGAACAGCCTTTTTTTTTGTGGGGTAGTGCATCTATTTCCAAAGTTCATCTGTTTTCCTGGGATTCCAATCCTGTCTTCAGTTTGATAAACCTTGTATCCAAATGTTGCAGTTAATTCAAAGTAGAATTTAAACACAAACTTATATATATATATGTCGTATTGGATAAAGGTACTTTCCTTACTTGAGCTCATTTTCTGTAAGAAAATTCCCTGATTGCCTCCTCCTGTGTGCTTTTGTTGTGACAATTTGGGAGAATTGGAAGAGCAGAGAGGAGCTTGCGAAGAGGATTTTTGTTGTTATTCTCTTCTTTTGTGTATGAGGTAAAGTGATAAAGTTGGACTTGGGCTTCAAAAAGGGCTACTGCTGTAAGCAAAACCAGCTACACTACCTTTCTTGTGTATGTTTTAAAAATAATTGAATTGTAAAGGCAGAGTTGCTATTACTATCATAACTTTTTTTTCCCTTTTAAAAGGCATAATTCACACACGCTTTTTTTTTTTTCCTGTGAAATGTTTTATTTTTATGTCTTAATATATTCAGCTTTTGCCATTCATTTTCAAAGAATTTGTCTCAGTGTTTCAGCAAATACTTCTGAAAGTCTAATTCCATGTAATTTCTTTTGTAAATGTTTTTTTTCCTCAATATTCTACATCCTTGGTATTTGTAAGATTTATTTTCACAGTCTGTAGCTTTCTTGCATGTAGTTTTTTTTTTTACAACTAATACTTAAATTGACAGAGGTGGCTTTTAGGATAGATGGGCAGCCAAGTGGAACTATTCTAATTTCATCTCTACCATAGGAAGGAGTTGGATGATCATATTGAAACACGTGTTATTTTACTGCTGAATGCTCGATGTCTTATGTTGATAGATGATTAAGTGTTTCACTGGAGCTTTTTTTTTTGTTGTTTATTTTGAAGTAGTGGATTTTACTAAAATTATGCAGTTAAATGCTTCTCTGTAAGAAAGACAAATCATTACTGCACATTTGAGGTGATTTCATGAAAGAAGCATATCTTTTGGTCTAAGTTTCTGAGATTGTGTATAATTATTAGATTGTATCTTAGTTTGCAATAGGAAAGATTGCAGTACTGAATCTGAGAGTATTGTGTTCTTTCATGATAATTTCAGTGTGGTGAGTCATAATAATAATAATGTGGTTTTTTTATTATTATTAATAATATATTTCTGGATGTATTCTTCATGCCATGTTTTTTAGGGTATGCTTTAAAAACTTCAGTCCTGTTTGTAGGCTCTGGGCTTGGTCCCTGGAGCTGTGTAGGCTGAAATGATGGCATTTCCCTCCCAGCCTGGCTCATTTCAGGAACCGAGACACCCATCATGAACCTTGAGAAGGAGGAGGCTGCCAGCAGGTCTCCAGCCATTCACAGCCCTTTTGTCTCTCCTTTTACTTCTGTTCCAATATAGATAAGCAGATGGATGAAACGAATAGACCCTTCTAGGAGTCATGCTCCTAAACATAACTTAAGGGACCTAGGAACATCCATCCAAGATGTGGTGGCTGGGAGAAGAACTCTGACTGCTGGTGACTCTGGTGCTGGGCACTGAGGGACCCTGTACAGCCCTGAGGAGAAACTGGGCCCTGCTGGGGCAGGGTGGCACAGCTCAGGATGGGAGAGCACTTGGCACAGGCCTCAGGCAAATGCTGAGGGGGAAGCATAAATGAACAGCGTGTGTGAAGCTTCCCCAGAAAACTTTTCCCAGACTCAAAGTCTCCCATTCAGAAATTTGTTAGCATCCTTCTTCTTACTGCCTGTGTTGCTTGTGTTCAGATACAAATACAAAGCCTTTATTTTAGCAGCCAGTCTCCATTTACTCACTGTCAGTCAGTGTCTATTTGAGGTCACAGCAGCATTTTCTACAGCTTAAATGGCTATCTTCATGCACTGGTGTACAAATCCTGATGCATTTGAATCCCCTTACAATTCACGTTTTAGAAGACTCCAGGAGCTCTCCATTCCCTGTTACCTCATGGGCCTATATTTGCTTTCAGGTAATGGAACTTTCTGACAAGTATCTGCCCAGAGCATTTGAGAAGAGATCTCACTTGGTCAGTGTTATTAATCTTACCTCAATTTGGCTAGAAATAAGTCGGCTTTCATGCATTCTGGAAGGACAGGTGTGTTTTTCAGGAAGACACCCTATTGATCTGGCAAATCTCTTTGCCAAGACAAGTGCAGTCAGGGCTCTTCTCCTTTAGAAACCGAGTCCTCCAAAATAATGTTAGAGAAATTCCCTTTAGCCCTTAAGTGCATGAATTTGATGTTTATGCAATTGAATTTTATCCCACTTGCAATATCCAGTCTTGACCATCATCCAGCTCTTTCCTGTGGGAATTTTTTTCAGTTGTCTTCTTTCCAACTTAGCATTATCAGCATATTTCCTTAGTGTGCTCCTGGTTTTTGTGCCTGGGCTGTTAATGAAAATGTTGGGTTGGCATTTTGCAGGGCTGATATGGAAGGATCCATACTTCAACCTTCTGCCACTTGGGACTTGATCTGGGCAGTCACCAGTGCCAATGTGAGCAAAATGTCCATGACCTGGCTGCCTGCTTTGCCAGGCTGAGGTTCTGGGAAGCTGAGTGGCTGCTGGGCAATGCAAAGTCCCAGCAGCACCCACCACCCTCTGCCCTCACCTCTCCTATATCCTTACTGTCCTTCAGCAACAGCACCTTGCAAAACCAAAGGGCTGTCAGGCTTTCCCACCTGCTCAAGTCTCAGCTCTGCTGCTCTGTACCACTTCCTGCCATCCTTTCCCTCTCACACCCCTGGTGTTTTTTTGTTGGAAGGAACAACATGCAAATTAGCCTCTTCTGCAGAGGGGGTGGTTTGTGCTCATTATCTCGTGTCCCTGCGTCTGCAGGCCTTTTGATGTGCTTTCTTCACCAGGACCTCATCTTCATCAGTTCAGTCACCTCTTATGTAGAACAATATCAAATCTTCATGCAAACTTTATCCAGGTGGAATTCTGAAATTTCTGAAAGTATTCAATGAATTTTCTGGTGGATAAGGTATTATTTTGCCTAGAAAATAATTTATGAGGGCCTAACTGGTTTAGCATGAAATTCTTAGTGTGCATTTTTCTTATATGTGTTTGCCTCAAATCAAAGTACTTTTTCTCTTTAGTGTTCGTTTGAAAACTGTCTATTTTTAAGACTGGATTTGTTGTTGCCCAACTCATTTTCCTCTGATGCCATGAGAACCTTGGGGTTTGCAGAGAGGGCACACAGGACTGGTTCCTGCATGGGCCTGCCTGTGGCCAAAGGATGGCTTGGCTCCAGCCATCCACCTTCACACTTGCAGTGGAGCAGACCTGCTGTGAGCCTGCTCTTGTGGCTGGTGGCTTCATCTGCCCATTAAGCACAATGTTGTGAGTACACTTGTAGGATGCATTTTGGTATTACAGGGACATTTCATTACTATGCTGTTGTGTCCAGCTACTGGAGGCAGCTGCTATGTTTGCTCCAGTGCAGCCTGCTGTAGTAGTGCCTCCGACTGCTTTCTCACTCTTCTGTGGTTGTTTTTTTTTTTTTTCCCCCCACTTAATTTCCTTACTGTTCTCTTCAAACAGCAAGCAGAAAAGTCTCTTCAATTAAAACTGTTATCAGTAGATGGCTTTGAACATTCCATAAAGAAAAAGCCTGTTTTCTTGCCTTCTGATATTAAAAGCCAGTGTATCCCATGTACTGTGCAGCTCCATTGGAGGTGGCTGTTTCTGTGATTTTTATGAACGTTTTAGGAGTATCCTGCAGTTTTTGCCCTTTTCAAATGTAAATGTTTAATCATTGCTTGCTGAGAGAGCATGCAAGAACACATGCATAAGGTTTATGGCTCTTTTTTCTTATTCTTGCAGTGATCTGCTGTCTTCTGAATACCTTGAGAGGCATATCGAGCAAGGTGGAAAGGCAGTGGAAGTTAAAGTAAGAGTCTCCTTTTTATACTTTGCCTTTTTCAATTTGCTTTGCTTTTGATGTTAATGTAAACTCATTTTCTTAAAGGGAGAGAGATCTGATTTTTGAGGCAGTTTACTCTTCTGAAGCAAGCATGTTTTATGTCTTCTAAATTTTCAGCTTTCTTATACATGAAAAATCTGGTACATTAATGTTTATATCAGAATGGTATTCATGAAAAATGTGTACTTCGTTGTTTCTGCTAGTAAATGTAGCAAGATTTACTGTATAGTATTTTCAAATACTTAGTCACTGTCTGAAGTCCTGGGCTTCTTTCTGTGGACGTTTGTAGGCACAATGGTTACAAGGTCCTCTTTAATGCAGTACTCATGTAAAGGAGGTTCCACTGCCTTTGCAGGAGTGCTTCTGTTGTTTGTGCATGGCATGGGAAAATTTTCCTGAAGACCTTCTGGTTGTTACGATGGTATTGTGTAGAAGAAAGATATAAAATTACTGTAGATTACATAAAATGTACATGAAAGTAATATGCTATGCATAATTGAAGCTCTTTAAATTTGCCTATTAAGTCAAATTTTGCTCTTAGTTTACATTTAATTTAAAAGGCTTTTTTCATTTTTACTCAATCCAAGATAATCTAACTACTCTGAAATGAATAAATTAAGCTTATAATGTGAAAGCAAAAATGAAAGTGGACAAAGCAGTAGTTTAGGCTCTGAGCACCTGAAGATTTATTTCTTTTGATTTGTCCCTTTCTGGAGTTTGTAAGCTTGAAATCTACTTTCACTTTGCACCCTGATAATAGTCTGAATATATTTTCAGACTGGAGCACGTGCATGTGTGTTCCATTAATTCATAAAGCTAATTTCTCGACTGTGCTCAGCAATCAAGAAGCCTCGACTCAAATTCAGAGTATGAGTCAAAACAGAAATAAATGTAATAGCTGATGCTAATAGGACCCATTTGTCTCATCAAGGTATATGTAGAAGTTAGCCAAACTAAACTTTCAGAGTCTTATCACTGAATCAGGATGAATTAGAAAGGAAATATCTGTGAATCAGTGGCTCTTCTCATGCAAATACTTAGTTGCATGGGGAAGAAACAGCAGAGTCAGGCCTTTCTGAGAAAGGTCATGAAAGTTTTCTGGGCAAATCACTTCTCAGCCTCCAGAGTCCCAGAGTTCATCTCCCCTTCAGTTAACCTCAGGGCAGGATCACTGCATAGCATCAGCAAAGGCTCTCCACTGCTTCACTCAGTGCTATCAAACCTTTAGAGAACTGACCTCGTTGGCACCTTGGTCTTGGCATCTGAGTTGGTATGAACTGTGAAAAAGAAAAAGGCTTACAGAATTGTTTCACCTCTCTCTGCAATGGAGGGTCATTTCCTCTGGGGTGACATGTTCCCCCTCTGCTCTGTGGTAAGGGAAGGGCGAGGGGGCTGTTCTGTGCTTTGCCCACCACCAGCAGCCAGCAGCAGTCCAAGAAGGGGGGTTTTTTTCATTTATTTTGCTCATTTTGATACAATCGAGCATCCAGTATCGGAAGAGAGGAAAGCAGTTGTTGTGCCAAAACGTCCCAAAGAATCTTCTGGCCATGATGGTGGCCAAACATTCAGAAAAATTCAGGTATCAGAAGGATTTTGGAAGAAGGATTTTGGAAGTACATTTTGATGCCAGACACTGAGTGAGGCTGGGTTCAGTGCCCAGTCGCTGCTTTAAAACAAATCTTCCTGCTCCTGAGCAGCTGGTTCTTTTTAGAGTACTTGTAAGTGCCCTGGAGAGCCCTACTGGTCATTCAAATAAATTTGAAAATCCCAGCAGTTTCTGCTTGGCATTTGAGAAACTGAGCTGTCGTTTTAGGTCAAATGTTTTGAAAATCTTCCTGCAAATATAGGGATTTTTCATGATCATGGTTTAGTACCCTCAGTTTCTTTGGCAACTGTTTACAGTACCTGTAAAACAACCTTTATATTGGTGCTTTTAATACATACGAGGCAAAACATAAATAATTACAATGTTCATACTCCATGCAGAGCTGATAACGCCTTCTACTGCTCTTCTTCCTCTCCATTCCCCCTGGTAAAAGTCCCTGTGCTACAGAACACGTCCAGATCTTTTGCTTCTCCTTAGGATGCTTCAGAGAGATGAAGGTACAGGGAAGGGAAGAAATATTCATAGAATTTAAAAGACCACTTCGAATGAGAAAGGGAGGAGAGCCCTCAGCTTAACACTCCCTTTTGCTTATAAGAGAAGGTTGAATTAGATTCGTTTCCTGCATAATTCATTAATAAATCAGACCACTGTGAAGGTGGAACATGTGCATGTTTTTGCACAGTGCCGTTATTTAGCAGCTGCAGAGGGAAGGCTTCTCTGTGAGATGTCCTTGTTGACTTGACACAGTTTAGCAGCACCCGAGACACTCTTATTAAACCAGCAGCAAGATGTGATGCTTAAGAAAAACAAAAGGAGGTAGATCTTTGAATTATTTTCAGTGTTTCCCCCCATTTTATTTTATGTCTCTAGTTTCTTAGGAAAGCAGCAGTATTGTCCTAAATTCCCTCTGGTAGCAAAGAGAATAATCAATTAAGGAGAGAAAGCCCTTCATGCCTTACCTTTTTCCTGTTTTTGTCAGCCCACATCATCCTATGCTCACAGCACATAAACACTCAACTTGTGTCTACTTTATGTTGCTGCAGTATATCTCTGTGTCCTTTTATCTCTCTCTCTCTCTTTTTGGGTTATCATTCTGTCACTGATGCTGTCAGTGAGATGAAAGGCAAAAAACCAGCCAGAGTGCTGAGTAATTCACACTGCTGGATTTTCCCCTAAGAAGGAAAAACTGGTATCTCTTCAGTGACATTTTCTCTTACGAAATGTTTCACTTTTCCACTTTAGATATTATAGAAGTAATTCTTTTAGCCTGTCAAGAACATTGGACACAGATCCCAGTAAAAGAACTTGCACAGGTAAAGTCGTAATAGATTAATTCTGGGCATTTTTGATGGCATGCTTCAGTATAACCACATGGGCTGAACCATGACACAACACAGCTGTGTTTCATAGATAATTCTGAAATTAGTAAGTGTACTAGTGTAAATACAATCTGCATCCTGGGCACAAAATTATAGTAAAAGTGCTTAAAGCATGAAACAACATTACCTTTTGCTCTCCAGAAGGGAGCAAAATATTCAAGTCTCAAAAGGCCAGAGATAGCTGAGAGGCTTTGATATGACAGGCACTGCTTTTTGTTTATTTGTCCTGCTGACCTGCTCTTCTCCAGAAGGTGTTGAGATGCAATCCATTGGCCAAGGGCAACAGCTGTATCTGTCACACATTAATCCTTGAGCATAGGGAGACCATGTCCTAACCATGGGATCATAGAATCACATAGAATCACAGTCAGAAGGACTTGTGTTGGAATGGACTTTCAGTTGTAAACTGCCTGCTGTGGGCCTCCCACCGTATCAGGCTGCCCAGGGCCCCATCAACCTGGCCTCAAATGCCTCCAGGGATGGACATAAATTCCATTCAAACGTTTTACTGTACCATCACAGGTACTGACAGATCATAAGGTTACACTAACAAATTATTGCAAGTGTTGCAACCAGAATATACTGCCTGTCTGTGGGCAGGGTATTTTTTTATCACTGACTGCTGTGTTTCCAGCTTTATAGCAAAGGGCTTCCACCAGCATCTTCCAGATTTACAGTCACCCGCTGTCTGAGCTGTGCAGAGAAATCCAGTCATTTTTCTTCAGCTTTTGATGCCTCACCATTTCATAGCCAGAGAGGAAGGAGTTTCAGCTTGGCAGAAAAGCGTGTGTGCTAAGCAGGTTTCCCTGGCAGGGATTACATTCTGTTCCTGAAAAATTCAGCTCACATGAGTGGTGGTGGCACTGGAGGCTCTGCCCTGTGCAGTGTGTGCACGTACCCGTGCCTGTACAACCTGGTGCTGCAGCCCTAGGGGAGAAAGAAACCTAAAAAGGAACAAAGCATAAATAATGCAGGAATTATATCTGCCTATTTCTGGCAGGTCTTTTTTGGGTGGTGTCCAGAGACTAGGGAAGCTGTTAGTAGCAGAAAACTCATTTGATAGAAGATTTTGTCCAAGGCTTCCCGTAACATTGTCAGAGCTTCTCTATCCCATTCCCTCTACAGAGCTTTGCTTGCCTCATGGCTAATGATTAATAAATCTAGACCATAATTTACTTTCTAGTTTAACAGTAAACTAGCCAAAGATAGCTGACAGAGAATCTAGAAGTCTGACACAGTTTAATAGGTGGCTCCTAAGGCTGATCTGCAGACTTCTGTCATTGAAAATTTTCTTTAATAACTTATGTGAAAAAAAGTTTGTGTGTGTTAATGAAAATAGAAGTACAAAATTGGGAATTACTGTAATCCACAGGAGCATCTGGAGAACTGTCTGTCTTTGACCAGTAGAGTAAATGAAAGTGGGATGAAATTTGATAGAATAAAATGGCAACTTCCTTCACTTAGGGACTAGTTATAGGGCTTTTGCTGCAAGACAGGAGTGCATAAGTAATGGAACAGAGGATGACTGCATGGTTCATGTCTAACCAGATGCTGCCATGGCATCAGAATGGTCAAATTAGTTCCAATAAGTAAGAGATAGTATTAATGTTATTATGTGTCCTGTTGAAGAGCTGACAACATTTTAAAATTTCTGTGCATTTTTGGTTGCTCTGGGTATCTTTTTTTCTAACAGCATCAAGCTGCTGCTCTGAATTAAGAAGCATTGAGGAGTATCTCACTTTCTTGTTTTAGCATTATTTGAATTATGGAGGCAATTCCTCTGGGTTTCAGTAAAACACAGTATCCCCTGTGGGATACCAGGGCTGGATAATCAGTCATCTTATATAATGCATTTGCCTGACCTAATGGTCCTGCGAGCTGGTGCTGTAAGTGTACATTTGCATTAACTTTCCTAAATCTACCCGTTTATCTCCTTGCTATTACTAGCTTACTTTCTGTTAGCCATATATTCTGCTGCTGTG